CAGGCAGGAAGGCCTCCTCTCGCCCGCAGACTGCCTGCCTGCCTGCCTGCCTGCCTGCCTGCGCACAGGGACGGGGGGCACGGGAAGTGTCATGGCATATCGCAGATGTGCGTCTCCAGCTGTCTGTGTATACAGAGAAAATGACGCTGGGATGGGCCAATTTTGCTTCCCTCTCGGCAAGAGGTGGAAGAGGCGGGGGGGGGGCATCTTTGGGTTACTGCTGAGTTACACGGTCTAACTAAGACTTGTTTCTCGCAGGGATCGCAGCAGTTATTAAATATAATTTACACCCATACGCCGAACGCATGACTTGCACATAAATTCAGCTGAAAGTAAGTCAGTGGGGTTACTTCCATACTTTACATTTAGGACGTGAGCGGGGTTTTAGCGTTCCGTTTCACGCTGCAACCGTTAAAAAAGAGTGCATCCATTTAATGGACGTTTATCAAGCGGGTAGTGATTTTTCAAAAAGTGAAAGACGGTGTAAAAGGCGCATTAAATTTTCTAATAGAGGCAGGATGGAATTACCTACAGTTTCTTAAACTGCACTCTGCAACCTGTCCCTAGCCCGGAGCTCTTGCGTTCAAGCTCTTTCCTACCTTGCTTTCATTTCTGCTCATGGGTTGGAACAAAGTAGACAAATGTGAGATTGCTTGATAAACCTCTAGGTGATTAAAATATCTTTTTTAAAAAAACACCGGAAGGTAAAGGCGCACTTTCATTGTTAAAATTGTCAATCTTATTTTGCTTATGCCCATAAAGCATGGATATTTCTCTTGGTGCGTTGTGAGATTTATATATATATGTATATATACACTCATACATATATATGTATACAAGGAAATGTATAGCATAATGTTATAAAATGGAAATTTAAGTTATTAATGTAATTTGTAGGTGCATTTAGTATTAACTGTACACTAAAAGGTTAGTCAGTTTTCAGTTTAAAACGTTCCAAGCATAGAAATTAAATATATTGTAAAGGATTTTAACACTTCTTTTTATTCTCCCGCTGGGAAAAAATAGACACTATTTGTAAATAAGTTTGAACAGTAGATATATTTGTACTCCTCTTTTGGACTTGGTTCAAAACCTTCTCTTGACACCGTTTTAATGAGTGATCCTCAAGAAAACAAAATATGCTGTCTGGTTTCAGTGTAGCAAACTTCTTACTATTTCATACAGTTGCTGTCTTTTTCTCCTATGTGCCATTTCATAGAAATCCTAGAAATAAATGTTATTTTGTATTAAAATCAATCTTATCAATAACTTTCACTGTTTTTATTTGGTAGCGCATTGCTATGGTGTGCAAAGATGTAGCAAGTATTTGTTAAACCTTTGCACTGACACTTTGTTCAACTGAGTTCGATTTAAAAGGAAGCTACATCCTAGTAATTATACTAGTCTAGTTGTGGATCGGGATTTCCCATACTCCTCTGAAAATATTAATTATAACCGAGGTCATGTTTGGAGCAGGCATCTTTGAAGCATCCCTAAGCAATACCATACAGGACACGAACCAGCAGTTTAAATAAAAACACTTCCAGCACCACGAAATAATATTTTACTAGACTTCCTTAACTGTTTGGAGAGAAATTGCAGCCAGGGGCTGTTATTGAAAAGTGGTTTATAACTTACTGATTGCTGCAAAGTTGTATTTTTAAAGCGTTCCAGTGTTGATTCAGAAACTGGGATTTTAAAAGGAGGTTCTTGGAACTGTGTGCAATGCAACCAACGGTACTCTCTTTCAATATAATTTAGGTTGGGTGTAAAGTGGCCACCAATGTCCATTGACATCAACAGGATTTAAATGTGCATATCTTGCGCTACATTGTAGTCCTTGTGCATAATAGAAATTCCTTGAACGTTGCCTATTTTATATAGTCATTTGTGATCCACGTTGGCAGATTTCAGATAAAATGAAAACGCCAACTAGATTCAATTAAAAACGGGTGTGTCCACGTGGAGTTGATTTTTGAACTTTTCTTTAATAATTTATGATATTAAGTGAATCTATGGTGAAGTTTGAGTCCGGTGGCACCTTTGATCTTAAAGGTGCCACTGGACTCGAACTTTGTTTTGCTGCTTCAGTCCAACACACTACCCACCTGAATCTATTGTGTGTGTGTGAGAGAGAGAGAAAGAGAGAGAGAGAGGAACGGACGGACGGATAACACTGCTTACATTTCAGAAGGGAAGATTTCCCCAAAGGTTCCCTGCTTTTTGCAGACAGATCGTCTAAATAGTCTTGGAGTGAAATCGACCAGCGCCCTGTGCTAAAACCAATTTGATTTATTCACATCAATAATAAACGCCTGTAGCTGGAGGAAAATGTAAGTAGCCTAAACCAGCGAGGCCTACTTAATGTTGAGGATCGGGAGTTTTTGAACGTATCTTCGAATAAATCCTAAACGTAGATTCTTTCCAATGTAAAACGCGTTTGCTTCCTTCCCGGATGACAGGCAACAAAGCTGGTAGGAATTTCATACTGTACGGTCCAGAAGGGCAATGCTTATAGGGGAGGGATTTTCTTCTCTATCCTGGGGAGTGTTTGGCCCAGGAAAACTATTACTCACAAAGAACAAGTTCAGTGCATGGTTGAATTAAGACTGTAAAAGCTTCTAAAATTGGTTGGTATGGAAACCTAATCCCACCCAACTGTTCTGTAGCGCAGCTGGACTGTTTACTTTCTCACTTCAAATATAACTGTGTAAACATTGGCTCGAAAGTGACAGCTCTGCTCCTATAACCAGTTAATATATTGGGGTGGATGTGTGTAAATGTGGATTCCTTCGTGATTATTAGAAGACAGTGAATAATGATGATGATGATGATGATGATGGCAGTATGGGTGGGAAAGCACGCATTTATTCGCGTTTATTTTTTTATAAATTGCATTTATTTTGGGGTAATTTCTAAGGTGCTACTGCAAGACGTCGTGTAAGTAAGTGTGCTCGCTAGTGTTAAATATTACAAATTACATTTTGTTGATACTTTTGACTCTCACCCAACCACTAGCAGCGGCTAAATCAATATCACAAAGAAAACTTTTTTTAAAGTCTCAGGTTCCAAAAGAGGTTGAAACGTAATATTATTACAATAAAACGGGTTAATAATGAAGAGCTTTAATAGTGAGCTAATTTGACTGAGTTTCCTAATTCCACTTTAATTGGAAAAAAGGAGTTGTCTGTTCGGTTATAATGTGACAGGGTTATGTTAGCTGGAGGGGAGGGGAGGGGGCGGGAAGCGGAACGGAGCATCAAATGGACCTAGAGCGCTGGAGTAAAGCTCTCTGTCCCTGCGTCTCTTCTCTCTCCCCCCCCCCCCCCGGGGGCCCCCCCCCCCCCCCCGTGTGTGTGGGGGTGCTGGGTATACAAGGTTAGCAGAGGATTTTTCTACTATTTGCCACTTTCTATTTGAGTAGAGAGAAAATGCGGGCAAACCTCCCCCCCGCCCCCGCTTTGTTTCCAGTGAACGAAATGTATTGTTTCACTTTTCCGACGCACATCACACAGAGTCATGAATTTTGAAAATCTCCTCGAGGTCATCTAGGCTAACCCGCTACTCCGGCGAGATTAACTGGGTTTAAATTGTTTCCCGGAGACACTTCTAAATAGACCATGCATCGATCCTTTCACGTCCAGGCAGGCATTCTCCATCCACACAGTGCCCCAAGAAAGTGAACCAAGCTCATTTTGCGCGGTAAGGAGGATACCCCTCCGATATGATGAAAGGACTGCCGGGGGGGGGGGAGGGGAGAGAGACTTCACCCATGTGCTTCTCGGCTGACTTTTTTTTTTGTTGCCTTAATGAAAATTTTTTCTTGCCCTCTTCGCCAAGATCTTGCTAAGGCGCTGAACTCCACTTCGTTTAAGTCTTCAATGACTGACCTTATAAAGCGGTTCCTTTTCCTGCATCTTTTCTGGGCTGATCAGTATGAAGATCTGATGCATTGCCTGCCTTTCCTCACACATTGCATGAGTTTCCTAAACTCAGGCTTTAACTAAGGGAGCGAGTCCCTCATTCTAGAGGGAGAACTACCGGTCTGGAGCAAAGGGATGGTGAAAACCAGGATACTGATGCAACGCATGCCAGGTTTCTTTTAATGAGCCAGAAAGGCGAAAGCGAGCCATGACAGTCTTGGAAACCATACCTCAGCCCATTTGTTTATCTGGGACAAATCTACCCAGATTCATCTACTCCTCCACTTCTTCCCTCTCTCCATCCGAAGAAGAGCAGGTTTCCCTAGTGCTAAGGGGAGAGTATCTTTTACAGTGCAGGGATGAAGTCTAAAAGCTGTCCCCCAGCATAAAATTAAAAGTGGTGGCAGTTGAATTAAATTCAACATAGCAAATACAAATTATTTGTAAAGTGGAGGCAGTGTGGCAGCATTTGCAAACTTTCCTGTTAATTAAATTTTAATCCGTTCAGTTGCATTTTCCTTGTTTGGCCACGCATTGAGAACAGGGCACGTACAGGAGGAATATTATCTGCCCTAGTATTTAATAGAAATCAATCTTAATCCACAACATAATAAAAAACCAAATTATACTAACAATTTAGTAGCAAAATGACATGCCTCATTCAAAATGAACTTTCTCACTGCCACTTTATTGCAAGGAGGAAGGGCACAGAAAGAAAATCCTTCTGAGGTTTATTTGTAAAAGAGCAGGTTCTGGGTCTCAAAGTAGCCCCTTAGATATGATCTGCAGTCCCAAATTTTTGTGTGCTTGATGTGGTTGTTCTGTAGAGAAAAAAATCATGTAACACTTTCTAGACAAGGACCTGGTGGTTGAATGCTTTTAGGGTTTTGCTTCAAACAGGCTCCTTTGTCAGCTCCCATATCAGCTGAAAGGACCACTGGCTACTTAAACTGAGTGGATAAACTTGATGGGAAGCCTGCAGAGGCCCTCTTTAGTCTGGAAAACCCCTATCTGAAAATATTTATGCGGGTGAAGTAGAAACACTGGTAATTTATGTTGGTCAGTTAGTATTACCAGATTTATAGGATAGATCTGAGTGCTGCAGAAATTACAAAAATGTCTACGAAGAAAAGGATCTTCTGGCTTTGGGGAAATTATGCAAAGAAAAAGCATCCAGCACTCCTCTGACTACTACTTACAGGATCACAAAAATAATTATAAGAAGACACCCTCCCCCCCCCCCCCAATTTCCCACTATGGTGACAAACTCCTGTAAAATTATTTCTGTGTGACCATATGCTGAAGAAGTTATTGGGCCAAACTGCCATCAGCAGCAGAATGTCCTTGAATGCATTCTTCCAGGACATTCTATTGCTGACTGAGGAAGAGCAGTTATCCTACAGAGAAGCTTCAAAGGGAGATTACAACAGGCAACGGGACACTAGAATTCATTGACAAATTCAGAACAGTGCCCCTCCCAGGGCTCAACAGGGACACAGGATTCTTATCTCATTACAGAAGCTACTTTTCTGCACTTTCCACCTCTATGCATATCTGTTGGGTTTTGATAGTGAGATATTGAAAAAATGGTATTTAGCAGAGATAATATAGCCCAGCAGAGCCTGAGTAAAATAATTCAGAGAGTCCGTGTGTGATTAAAACATAAAGTTTTTAGTAAATTCTAGCATGGGGAAGGGTAACTGGGATGAAAATAACAACAGAGCTAAATAGGCTGCATCCTTACTCTACAAAGACAAAACTAGAAGAGCGAGTTATGGCTTCTCTTCTTCTTCAAAACAGCAAACAAAGAAGGGAAGAGGAGCCATAAAATGCTAAAACACTTTGACACTCTTGTTCCAATCAAACTCCTAGATCAGGGAGAAATTTCCCAGACTTCTTACATCTAAAGAACATTGGTTACACGAGAAACATGTGACTTCCTGTGAGTAAAAGAAACAAACATTTAACCCCAGATATACTGAGTGTTTTCAACTTGTAATATCCAACAATATCTCCTGGCTCTAATCAAACTGATCACATTCTGCAGTGTTACCTCTGCATCCTGACTCCAGTCTTCACTTCTTTGCAACACCCCTCTGACTTTCTGACCTGGATATAAGGGCTGATGGGACTTCATTGTATTTGTATCTGATGAAATGACCTTTGAATCATGACAACTTATATCTTGGAAAATTTTGTTTATCTTTAAGGTGCTACTGGACTCAAATTGTGTTTTACATATTTTTCTGGCATAGATAAAATCAGCAAAGAACAAATGAGCATAGCTTGCGTGAGAAAAAATCCTTCTAATGAATCACCTGATTCTCACCATCTAGAGCATTACATTCCTCTGAGCATACAAATGATACTTTAAGCTCAGCACAAGTTACCATTTGCAGTGTCGTTGTTCC